AAAATATATGTATATAATATTTCATATTTTGGAGTAAATCTAAAAAAATTATGGAAGCTCCACAAAAAACTTAATTAGTTTATATTTATTTCTTGTAAAAAATTTGAACAATAAAATATATTACATAATATTAATAAATGATTAAATGTGTCTTGAGTATATTTTTTATATGTAGAAAAATGTATTAATAAAAGATCTTTGGACGATTATTTCAGTACATTCCGTGGGAACTAGCTTATGAATTAAAAACTCTTTCCTTTTCTTTTTTATATATAATATATTAGTATACATATATTCACATCTATATCTCAAACATATAATTCCTTCAGCATATTGCCCAAGCGAAACCACAATACCCTTAGCAAAGAGTATTCCAGATAAATGAAAACAAGCGAAAAGTCAGCGAGGCGCAAAAGTGTCGCCTACTTTGAGGCGCTGCCAAATTGGCTTCAGGCGTGCGCAAAAACAAAAAATAAAAATAAAAAATTAAATAAATAAAACACACACATCTCTTACGCTCTCTCTCTGTGGTTGTAAAAAATTAGTGACAGCCACGCCCACGAAATTAATGAGTGGGATGTCTGGCTGGCAGACAGCATTACGAGCAGCCCGAAAAAAAGAAAGAAATCCAAAAACTTTTGTTCAACAACTTCCGACTAAAGTTGAGACGGAGCTGCAAAAGTTGCTATTCGCAAGTTGCAAGTTGCTCGTTGCAAGTTGTAAATGAATTGCGGGTCAGTGGCATAGGGTAGACACGACTCGAGCAGGCAACTGCATCTAATTAAGTTAGTGTGCGTGTGTGTGTGTGTGTGTGTGTGTGTAGGTGTGTGTGTGTGTGTGTGCGTGTGTTTGTTCAGCTCACCTCAATTGGTCCAATTCGCTGCGCATATCCGCATCGACGCTGGCCGCGTCCGTGGTGAGCCTCAGGGATTTGCGTAAATTATGTTCGAGCAATTCGTAATCCTCGCGCCGTCGCGTCATCAGCGCATTCAATTGCTTCGTTAGCAGTCGCACCTGATCGCCCAGTTTCAGATTCTTCTCAGCGGCATCCGCATCCTGCTCATCCTTGCCACTCGACAGCAGCTCCAATTCGTTGTTGTCCTCATCCTCGTTGACAAAGCGCAGCAGCTCCACGCTGGATAATGCGGGCGCAGCTGCCGTTGCCGTTGCCGTGGCTGTTGCAATTGGAGCCGTGCTGCCGGCTGTTTGGGCATCGCGCAACATGTTGTTCTCGTCGCTGACGAGGATGTTGCCGCTGCTGGTGGTGGCGCCACGCGCGCCTGCCACAACCAACGCCACGATCACGACGAGCGCTGTTAGACGCAACATTTTRGTGGCAGTTTTTTGTTGTTGTTGCTTTGTTTAAATTTAAGCACAGTTACTTTTTTTGGCTTTGATGATTTTTTAGTATTTTGGTGGCATTTGATATTTATGCAAATGTTGGGCACGTCTCATGACCACCTTTTAGAATATTCGAATTATGCGCGACTCCTTTTTATGTTTGTTGTGTGCACGTTTTTGTTGAGCTCGTGCTGCCGCTAGCTCTAAGCGGCTTTAACTGAATCACGCACGCACACAGAAACACAAACGCGAACACACGCACACTTAGTAGTCGTCTCACGTGTAAAATACTGTCAAACTTTCACTTGAGATTGGCTGCTGCTCGCCTGTGTACGAGATGCAGTTGACGCGACGCTTGTCGTTAGACTAAAGCGGCGCGCAGCAGCTGCTGCGCTTTTATAGCCCGCCAGCCGGTGGACGACGACGTCGACGTCGACGTCGCAGCGTTACGCTCAGCTGCAAAGAGAGCGTGCGCGCATAGTGCGAAGCTGAAGAGCATGCAACAAGCAGGCCAAAGAACAGGTTGTCTATGCTAAGAGAGCCAATGTGCGTGTATGTGTGTGTGTGTGTGTGTGTGTGTGTGGGAGTGAGAGAGCCCGCTTAAGGCAAATTTAAGAGCGCGCTGACTCCTGCTCTCTTTAAGGCTACTATGGCAACTAGGAGTCTGTTGCTAAACTATCGTCAATTGATAATAATTGTTATTATCCTAAACAATTCTGTTTAATACATTTACTTAAGCTTAGCACTTAGCTAACTGTACTTATGTGGTCTTGCTTTCTGTCGCAGCTTTACCTGAGTGTGTTTGTGTGTGTGCATATATGCTTCAGTGAGTGTGTTGGTGTTATCCTTGTGCATATCCTTGTGGCACATGGCGCGCCTGCGGTGAATCAACATTCGAGCAGCAAACAGCAGATGTCAGACCTTCAACGGCTCAACCAGGTGAGTTTTTGCACGTTGTTTTTTTTATTGGCTTTTTATTTAATGCTTATTAAAAGGTATTCAAAAAAAAGGTGAGGGTATTTAAAATATATATTTACAGATTGAAGATCATTAAAGAGGGTCTTTCATGTAGGTTGAGTTCATAATATTATATGCTTTCGAATTTTCTGGATTACCATAGTGAGGCGAAGGGAATTCTCATAATTATTTAGAATATTGACTTATAATATAATATATTCAACAATTTATTTTTTAGCTTAAATATATTTAAACACTTCAGTTAACCTCAGAAAATTCTCTCAGCTGAATTAAAAAAAAGTTGCTCCTAAAATTTCTGGGCAAATAAAAAATTTAATTCACGATTTCAGGTGAACTCACGTTTACACAAAATTGAGACGGGATTGGCAATCTATAAAAAAAAAAAAAAAAAAAAAAATTAAAAAAAAGTAACACATTAAACTAATAACAATTATCGAATAATTAATTATTAATAATTTGTAATATTTCCTATTCCCGATTTATGTCAACAATCTCATACCATATCTAAAGAGAGCTAAAATTGAATATAACTCTTTAGTCTCTACACACTTTCCATTTTCGTATAGGTCTTAGATAATTCTGGAGACTTTTCAAAATGATCATCGATAATTTACTCAATTTTATAGGCCGAATTTTGCTGTTTATTAAAGACAGATTCATTCTAATATATATCAATTTATACTTAATTTTAATATGTGCAAGATTTTGATGTATATTAAAGACATGAAAGAAAGGCAAATAGTGTTTCATTTTGATCAGATCACTATGCTCTACTGCTTGGGCTATTACTCCCTTGAGGGTCTTTTGTAACAGCTACATAAAATACATTCATAAGATCAAGCTAAACACTTTTAGTTTTAAAGCTCTGCTCTTTTAGTTTTGCTGTAGCTCAAAATGTACAGCATTATATCATCAGCTGCAATCTTCATTTATATATATAAAAAAAAAAGCACTGCAAATTTTCTCGTCTATTGTTGAATATTTTTGAGTGTTGCAACTTTACAAAAAGCACAACAAATTAAAAAAAAAGAGAAAAATGGAACTGAAAGTCATTTGGCCCACAACTAAAAGCTAAAACAGCTAAGCGAACAAAAGGTAAAACAAAAACTGAGAGCTGAACTGAATGAAGTTTATTTGGCGGCATTGTTGGCCCGGTCCGAGCGTTGGGCGTTGAATTTTCAGCATTTGTGCTGGGCCAGAATGGAATATGCCAAAAATGGCGCATTCAGCTGGCATGTGACGGGGTGCAGCGTGCACCTATAAACCACCAAGGAGTTGCAGAGGGACAAAGTGGCAGAGGTGGGCAGAGGCTGACCGGAGTGCGGGCCAGGAGTAGCCGGAGTGAAGCCAGAAACCAACCCATTCGGGTGGTGCGCTTCGCTGCACACAGAGAGAGAGAGAGAGAGAGTGAGACAGTGAGAGGGGGGGAGAGGGAGAGTGCGGGATTTGGCCAGAGTTGATGGCCATGTCGTGTTGGTCAGTTGCAACAGTTGCCACCTTTGCCCCTGCCCAGCCCGGGTGATGCCACCTTTTCGCATTGTTGCCATTTTGTCTGCGCTCGTGTATTGCAATTTGCAATATTTTCGCTTTTATTTTTTAATGCAGCCAGCGTTTGTTGTGGAGCGAAGGGTAGCTGCAGCTACATCAATGGGCTTATAATCAACTGCCATTGCCACATGAGTTGCACTTGCTGTTGTTGTTGTTGTTGGTATTATTATTGCTGCTGTTTGCATATATTTGGAACGTTGCATGCAATTGAGTTTAGTTTTTCCCTTTTACCATTTTGATACTTTTTAATTTTTGTTGTCTGCCGTTGCCGCTGTTGCTGCTGCTGCTGCTGCTGCTGCTGTTGTTGTTGTTGTAGTTGTTGTCAATTTGTGGCGCGGTGCTCTAGCTTGTTGCACATTGCATTAATGCAGGCAACTCGTGCGGCTAACAGCGCATCCGGCAATTCCCCATACCCAAAGCGCGCTCTCTCAACCGACCCGACCCTACACATGGGCGTGACAGTGGTGGCAGTGGCAGTGGTGCCTCTGCTGCTCCTGCTCCGGCTGCTGGTGGTGGCTTTTTGTGCCCTTTCAACTCAGCTGCAACACATTTGCTACCATTTGCATTGCACGAAGCGCTGCGTGAGCTTTGTAACATTTCATTGTCGCCTGGTTGTTGGCTGTCTGTTAATATTGTTATTGTTATTGCTTCGGTTTTTATGGTCTTGTCTCTGTGCCCGATGCGGTTCACGTTATGGTCAGAGCATATTAAGCTAATGGCCTGGAAGTAAACCTTCTGGCCTCTGGCTTCTGGCTTCTGGCTGATGTCTGCTGCCTGCTGCCTGCTGTTGCTGCTATTTCTCTTATTGTCGCTGCATTTAAGCCATTAACGGCTCCACTTCTAGACTGTCGGTTACATTTTTCTTCTTCCTTCACGTTTTTACATTTGAGTGTTTTAGAATTTTTATACAAAAACCAACGCACAATAAATGTACATACATACATATAGAGCATAGTCACAGTAGAGAACGCAGCTTATGTGGTTGAGTAGAATGTTACATAAATATTTATGCATTTATTTTTATTGTCGGGGGCCGAAAGGAATTTAAATGAAATCTTTCCCCTCCTTTAATGACATTTTTAATTAAGTGAACTTTTTAATATTAAAGACTTTTTATGGCTGCAAATAATAATTAAAAATGTTACTAAAACGTCAACTCTTTGGATTAAGGACTTCATTTCTGTGAAGCCTATTAATATATTTTTATACTGAGTTATATTTATGGAATGTGACTATTAAGTAAAATATAATGTAGCGAATTATTTACTTATGAAAAAAAGAAAAATAATTTTATATATATATTTTTTTCAATTTGATTTTTATTTGTATAAAATGTTAAGTCTATTTAATTTGAAAACATAATATGTATACTAAAATTTTATATATGTATTTTCAAAAATATTTGATTAAAAAATATATAAATA